GCAGTAGTTAGTCTGGACTGTTTGTATATGATCAGATAAATATTCACATTTCTCTGAGTTATGTATGTTGGTTATAAACTGATGCAGGTGTCAGTTTGCTGAGACAAACTGTGGTTGCGTTCCCACATCTGTTCTCTATTAAATGCTAAACTTCTCGTCACTCTGTGGTCATGCTTGTGTTTGCTTTTACCCTTCCCTTACTCCTACCTTTGCTTGCCAGCATTCCAGTTCTTTAACCTCAAAATCCAGGCGTGCTGTTTCTCTTAGTACTGTTTAAAAATGTAAATCTGACTGGTCCGACTTTGCCTTTTATTCCTTTATTCTCCGGACGTAGAGCTGCTGTCCAAAGTTTCTCTTATGTTCTTCCACAATGCACATACCGAATTCAATTTCTCTGTTCCTGTCGCAGGGGAAAAGTGTTCTTGCTGATGTTTCTGCTGCCTTTCTGTCAGCCAGTATTGTGGTCTTACAGGACAAGGTGAATGGAGCTAACTGCAGATATAAATCACTACATTTGAATTGGAAGCAAACTGGAACTTGTTGAATGTCTTGTATCATGCATCACAACGTGAATTGCTGATCAATTTTCTTCTTTTTTTCACACTTAGTTTCTCACTGTTTGAATTTGTACCTTGAGTGCTGCTGCATTTATGTTTATTATAAATTAGGAGGTTTATGTTTAAAGATTACCGTTGTGGCTGTAGCCACTATCGTCTTTCTCCTGCTGAACAACATAGAACAGTATATAATATTTACAAAATTAATGCTTCATTATGGGTTAAGTAAAGCAGTGTTCATGTGACTTATTACGGCATTTTAGCTGGCAGTATGCAGAAATATCTTCTATGAAGACTAAACGTTAGCACTTTGAAAATTTGCAATGTTGTCTATAGTCTGTAGTCTTGATGCTGGAGTGAAATAATGCTGGTGTGTCCCAAGGTTCTGTCTCTGCACTGGTTGGAGAAGAAACCGTTAGAAGTCAGGTAGACAGCCTGAGTAAAGGGGCTGCGAGCTGGACAGTGAAGACCATTTGACTGGGGAGTAGGGGAGAGGGACAGCCATGCAGGGGAGATAACAAACCTGAAGAAAGAGACTAGAACTGTCTGACCAAGGTGTTAGAAGTAGACTTTCCATGGGTGATAACAAGCTGACCCATTTTCTGTGTCCATTTTGAGGTCCTTTGGTCTGAACTGTTGCAGCTCTGAGCACTCACTTCTGCATCTTCAGCTACTGTCACTTGTGCTAAGTTTCTGTGTATTATTGCTAAATTATCTGAAGAGTTGGGTCCTTGGTTGCTCAAATTGGTTAGGCAAGGTTTGCAGGCAGAGTTAGTATTTCATCAAAATAACCAGTGAAAGGAGATGAGCTTTCAGGCTTTCTTTGGCTTTAGAGTAGAACCAGCAAACTTCAAAAATTAATGCAAGCTGAGAACAATTTACACTTGTTTACTACATATCCATTAGACTACTTGAGGGACAGGATGGCAGGTACCTGTAGAGAATGAAGTGGTAGATGAAGTAATAAGGTGTCATCTTTTAAAAAAAGAGAAGAGAATTCTTGGCCTATGAAACATGATGAGGTTAATGAGGTGAGAGGAGATGTGCTGTAAATCTATTTCGTTACTGATTTTTGTTTGTAAGTAGACTTAGGACTCTTTAACCTTTCAATTCATGCTGAAAGGTGTCCTTTAGGTCTGTCTTGAGGATATGGAGTGGAAGATCTGAGAAGGGAGATGGTACTTGACTAACTTCATCACTGAAAGCAAAGTTGTTAAACAGATGAAAAGGATGAGCTGGTGCTATGTGTAAACTTGTTCTTGTGAGTGGCCATGGCCAACTTGTAGTGCCGTCAAGGATCTAGACATGTCAGTAAGGTGGTTTATATGGCAGTATAGTTTGTGAAGAAAGTTGTCTTTTCATGAGGAAGGCTGGTTTTCTGCTAGTTCCTTTGTAGTCTCAGAGCTAAAGCACATTAAAAATAATCTGTAGATGGATGAGCAGTGAATTAGATCAAGTAGTCTTTCATGGAGCTGTGGAGGAGTGACTTGGTAGGTTACTTTTGGTTCTAGTTGGTCACTCAGCATTCAGAAGGAATTCAGAGTATTACATTCTTGTGCCACTCCTCTCACAATTTATATTTGTGCCCAGCATTATTCCATCCCAGGTGCAGAATACAGCATTTGGACTCATTAAATGTCATCAACTTTAATCATAGCCCAATGCTTCAATCTATCTAGGTCCCTCTGCAGGGGGCCTCTCATCCCTTGAGCCAACAGCACCTCCCAGTTTGGTCTCATCAGCAGACTTGGTAATGGTACATTCAACTTCTGCATCCAGATCATTGGTAAAAATATTGAACAGGCCCTGGAACTGAACCCTGAGGAACATCGCTGGTGACCAGTCGCCAGCCAGATGTAGCCCTATTCACTACAACCCTTTGAGCCCTGCCGCTCAGCCAGTTCTTCACTGAAAGCACCATGAACTTGCGCGTCCCACAGTTGGACAACTTATCTAGAAGAATGTTGGGAGGGACGGTGTCAAAAGCCGTACTAAAATCCATAAAAACTACATCTACCGCCTTCCCTTCATCCAGTAGGCAGGTGACCTTATTGCAGAAAGATATTAAATTAGTTAAACAGGACTCTTCTTTTGTGAACTTGTTGACTGTGCTGGTTGATTGTGTTGTCCTTTAAATGTATGATCTTCTCCATAATTTTTCCAGGTACTGAGGTTAGACTAACAGGTCTGTAGTTTCTTGGGTCTTCCCTGACACCTTTCTTGTAAATTGTAATAATATTGGCTAGCTTCTCAGCAGGAACCTCCCGAGACCTTTGGCAGATGATCGAGAGGGATCCTACTGTAACATCTGCTGGCTCCTTCAGTACTCTGGTGTGAATCTCATCAGTCCCCATGGACTTGTGAACATTCAGCTGATGAAGTTGGACCCTTACAATTTCAGCATCCACAAATGGAAAGTTGCTATTCCTGCACTCAGGATCCTCTCGGAGAACTGGATAGCCTGAGATCTATCAATGTTATTAGAGACTGAGGCAAAAAAAAACCCAACCCAAACAAACCCTTGGCTGCTTCTACTTTTAATTCATCCCTATTAGTCAGATGACCATTTCCAACAAGTATTGATCCAATGTTTTTCTTAGACCTCCACTTGCTATTAACATACTTTGAAAAGTCTTTCTTGTTGTCTGACACAACACTGGCCAGTTTCAACTCTAGTTCAGCTTTGGCCTTTTGTGTCTTTTCCCTGTGAAACATGACTGTAATCTTCCTGCGAAGCCTGACTTTGCTTCCAGAGATCATAAAGCTTCTTTTCCCTCCTGAGTTCAAAGAGGAGTTCCCTGTTTTCAGCCAAGCTGGTCTGCCCTGCTTGCTTGACTTAGAACACCATAGAATTGCCTGCTCCTGTGCTTTTAAAAGGTGGTTCTTCAAAACTGACAAGCACTCTGGACCTCAATGCCCTCAAAAGCAGATTTCCAGGGGACACTGCTAAGTAGCTTCCTGAGTAGCTTAAAGTTTGCTCCCTTGAAATCCCGGGTAGCAACTCTATGTGCCAAATAAACCAAAAATGTGGGGACTGGAGGAAGAATGGTGGAGGAGAGCCAAAGTGGTATGTAATTGCATAACTAAAAGCCATGTAGCTTCTACTGGCAGTTCAAATATGTTCTGAGATTTCATTTCCCACTTTTCTGTTAAGTGTATTTTTACTTGTATAATAGTACACAACAGTAAATTTTGCAAGTCTTGCAACACCATGCCTTAAATCTAAATAGATTAAGTAATGTTTGTGTGCTTTGACACCTCTTCTGTCAACTTGTCACCTTTTTTTGTTGTGGTTGAGAATTTGGTGATTGTGTTCTTATTTCCAATAACTGAAATACCACTTTTGTACATATTAAAACATAGCTAAACCACAGCACCATTTGCAGAGTGATGTATGTTACGTGTATCAAATCTTTGTGGTTAATGGCATATCTTGGCCTTTGTGTATTACTTTCTGTAGAGTGTTCTCTTTGTGGTCTTGTTCTCAAGATGTGAAAATTGCATACTTTCCCTTGATATGTCACATGGTGAAATTGGAGCACTTGCTTTGTGAATAAGAAGCAAACCTAGAGCAGGTCAAATATGAGTTACCTGTCAGTGTTTCACAAAAGCCGTATTAAGAGAATATTAAGAATGCCTAACCTAAGAAGTAACAATTAAAATTGAGTGACCTTCATTTATTTTTCCTTCTGAATGCTGTGTGACAGTCTTCAATAGTTACAGGATCGTGTAATTTTCCTTCCCCTGCAGTTGTTCCTCCGGTATCCCTGTTGCTGTATCCCTGGTGCTTAGGACAGAAGCTTGCTGCACTAGGAAATTATCAGTGCTGCTACTTATTTTTGTACTGATTACATTACTTCTGATGTACTAAATGTACCTCAAATGCTTTCCTGTATATGGAACTACATTGTATCTTTAGTGTACGAATTCCTTACAAATATTAGTAGTTTATTGTTATCACAACTTTCTAAAAATACTGCTTGGATTGATTAAAATGTAATTGTCAGAAATCCACATTGAATCCAGTCGTTCACCAGCAGGGCTGTTGCCCTTTGATAAGGCTCAGTCAGGAGGCGGTAGGATGCAGTAGGACTCCCCTGGAGCACAGACCCTGATGCTGCAGCTTTGGTATCTTTTCTACCCCCTGCAACTCAGTTTCTAAAGAGCAAGAGAAATCTAGGAGCTGGGCTAATCTCCTCTAACTTCAGCAAATTCGTACTATCTGTCTTGCTGGTATGTCTGTATAATACCAACACAGTGGTATAATTATCACAGCTTATGAACTTGATATGGGCTATCTGATGGACTTGCTTTCAATGGGCATGGATTATCTGAGGTTCTGGGTTGCAAGCAGGAAGAAAGCTGCCTCTGTAGGAGAGAAGAATAATAAATCAGGTTGCAGGGCTCTTATGTTCATACTGGTGACAAACTAGTCCATTTGCAGGGAAGCATTTACAATTTTATGTCTAAATTTTCCAGTCATTTCTAGTGTATTGCCTTTTCAAATAATTCAGAGATTTATTTGGCTGTTCTTATGTTTGTCTCAGTCTGTTTATTGAAGTGCTATTCTTTTGTTTCTTCTAGTGCCTTCACCAACGGGTGTTGTAGTAACATCTGAAAACTTCAAAACTGTCGTGCATTGGCAGTACCCACCCATGTCTGAAACTCCTCATTTTATTGTAGAAATCAAACCTTACAAGTAAGTTCTTATTCTTTTGTCATTTCCTGTAACTGGTATTCTCTAGAAGCATATAAAGACAATCAGTCTATGGTAAATTCTTTTGTTTTTATGTGGTGAAGTCATGTAGGGTAAAAGTTACCTAAGTGTAAATTAAGGCAAAATTTGTCAAAAAACGGGATGGCTGAGGTTGGTGGGGACCTCTGGAGGTCATCTAGTCCAGCTCTCTGCTCAAGCAGGGTCACCTAGAGCCAGTTGTCCAGGACTATGTGCAGACAGCTTTTGAGTATCTCCAGGGATGGAGACTCCACAACCTTCCTGGGCAACCTGTGCCAGCGCTCTGTCACACTCACAGATGTTTCCTCACAGGCAGTGTATTGTACAATATTGTCAACTGAAATTGTATTAACTATTATTTGTTCTGTTTTACAGTGTGGGTAATTACAGCATCGTCTCAACTTGTGTGAACATTTCAGCTCATTTTTGTGATGTCTCAAGCAAAATAGATGATCCTTTTACCTCTCACTGGTTTCAAGTTAAAGCTGTTGTTGGATCACAGCAGTCTGCGTATTTTGAGACGAATGAATTTATTTTGCAAAAGCATGGTAAGTTTGATCATAAACTAAACCTTGTAAATTTTTCCCAAAATTTAAAAAGTTAGTAATTATTGTGTGTTATTTGGGAATACCTTAAAGTCAGCAGCTCGGGATGAAATGAAGTATGATGGCTGTTTAGTAGGAAATTCTGTAGTTCCACCTCTGTAGGGACTTTTTAGCCCTGTCACTGTGGTATTTCAATATTTTTTCCAAAATTTCTAAAGACAAGAAAGTGATGCAGAGGATACACTCTGTGCATCCTTCTCATATTCTTGCCTAGTGTCCCATACACTACTTTAGGGTAGGAAACTGCCACTGGAACCTGTGGCCCTTTAGGCATCATTGAAGTAGTAATCAGGTGGTTGGTGATGCCTTGCTTGACAGTATCATCTCTGTACTGACAGTTTTGGGTGTCTGGATGCTATCTAGAAGCTTAGAGAGTCCTGGATAACTAACGGTTATTTATTATTCATGTAAATCGTTTGGGCTGCTTTGGGATAAATCAGTTTTTCACATCAACACTGTAAAAGTAAATTGTCCACGTAGACTCCAGGCCAACCTGTCCAAAACAGTGTAGTAGTCTCCAGCATTGCATCGGAAGTGCAAAGCAGACACAGCAGAGCAAGGAAAAACTGAGAGACTTCCTCTGGTACTTGCTCCTTTCTCAATTTATAGCTTGCAGTATTGCCTATGAGATTCTCCCTGACTTGGGCTGCGCTTTAGACAAAACTGGGTTTCTGCATTGGTGGAGCTGAAGTGGAGTCCCCCTTTGTTTTCTGCTATGATTCCCACCCACCCAATACTCCCATGACATGGAATCAGTGACTGGTTTCTAGTGTATGACAGAGGAACAGAAGTTGTGGTAATAATAGAGTTTGACAGTTTGCAGAAAATTGGTAGTGGTGTATGAAGGTGAGAGGCAAAATTGTATTCCCATTGAACAAGAAACTCATGTTCAGTCAGTTCATTAGACGCCAAAAATTTACGTAGGCCATTGCCATGGGAAATTAGCCTCCCTAAGTACTGTTGCTCAGGGCGAGATTTGTTTGTTTTCAGGTAGCCGTTGTTTCAGTACAGTATTGTTTTTAGCTGAGTGTGATTTGTGGTGGAATCTAGTTAGCAGTATTTTGTGTTCTGTTCTCATTCTCATATATATATTTAATTTGTTTGTTTTTTTCTGTTATCAGTGAGCTGAATTTTTATGGCCTTGCCTGTATAGGAAAGTTGGATTGCTTAACAGTGAAATTCTGCATGGACAATCTCTATTTCCATTTTAGAAGATTCATGAATGTTTCCAAACACCTCCTGTTACTTCTAAGTGTCACAGCTGTGTGACATTAACAGCGTTGAAATAAGCATGTAATTCTTATCAAATCTCTGATAAATTTTGGAAAGCTAGCTATAAAAAGCATATTTTATGTTAAAAGCAGTAAAAGCTGTGGTCTAATAGCAAAGGTGCAATGTGTTGCAGGAAGAATAGGATCGCCCAAACTGAATCTCTCAAGACACGGCGATAAAATTATGGTTGATATTTACCATCCTGCATTCCCCTCTGAGGAGCTTCTTCCTTGGATCAAAGACTTTTATTCAGGCATCACGTACTTGGTGACTTTTTGGGATAGTAAAAATCAGGTAAGTTCCAAATTGAGAATTTCAGATTAAAAATACTTTTTTACCTTAACAGCGAACTCCCTCTTAATGTGTTTATGGCACGCAGAGCCAACAGATACGAAGAAAACAGTTGAACATAATATAGGACTACTGAAGCCCTAAAATGTCAGGTGCATCACAGTGAGATACATGACTTGAAATGTCTGGATTTCAGTTGTCCAAATGGACATCTTATAACAAAAATGAGGTTATTGCATTAGCTGTACACAGGATAGTTACTTGATCCCATGCTGTTCTTTCTGCACACATACTAGGATGCTGGTGACTTGACTTGTGCACCTTTCACTTATCTAGATAGACCTTCCATTTAACAAGGTTACCTTTCAAGATATTGATACCACTATTTAGCAGTCATGGAGGGTGAACTTGAAGAAGATAACAGTAGGTATGTTTATTTACAGTTGCCTTTTCATATGCATCCAGGCACAAGTTTTATAAGTGAATTAGGTATGAAGATTGAGACTTAAGAACAGCACAAATTTTAGCCAAAAGCACCATGGTCTGATCAAATATGACATCTTAAGGTAGCTCATAAGCTGATAGCTGAAATTCACACAGCTTTTCCAAGGCATATAGATGTGGGAGCCACATCTAATAGTATTTTAACATTTTTGGAAGTATTGGAAGGTACTGTAACATTATATTGTTATATTAAGTCAAATGATATAATGCAACTTTTTTATTTTTTGCAGAGTAAAGAAGAGTTATCCGAAGACAACTGTACATTGCATAAATGTAGCCTCACCATACCATTTTTTTTGGTTCTACTTACTGTGTTTTAGCAGAGGGAAGTTCATATGATGGTCTGATGGTTGTCACCCCGTCAGAAAAAAGCTGCATTGATGTTCCTCTCAAGCAGACATCAAGTAAGAAGATTCTAAAACTTTAGTAAGAACATACTGAGTCTAACCAGAGATCTGTTCTAGCTAAGTATTCAAGCTCTGATACAGCTATGGGATGACAAGATGAAAAAAACGAAAAGCATGGTCATTCTTTTCCAGATGCACTTTCCCAGTTCTAAAGATCTTTAAAGATCATGTGTTATTTCAAGTAACCCTGAGTCTTTTGGGGGTGCTTTCCCTGCTTTGTTGGTATTACAAAGCCTATTTCCGTTGCACCTGATTGTTGGTGTAATAAACAATTGACAAATGGATCATTCACCAAGTCATGTGGTTTTGGAAGCATTGTCTCTCTCTTGCAACAAATGACTTTTTGCTCAGTCTCATCACTGAGGAAAATGTATATAGGCTTTTTTGAATTTGAACCAACTATAAACTTGTGGTCATAAAATTGACTTATTTTTCTTAATTAAAGAGAGTAAAGACAGCTAATGACCCAACTTTATATCTGTGATAACCTCGTAGAAACTTTAGTGTTACTTCATTACGGCCCAAAACTTCACTAGAGAAAAGAGAAAAAATTGAGAAGCAGTTGTGTTCTTTCTTTTATGCACAAGAGCTGCAGTATGATTACAGGGGGGACATTAGGAGAGTCAGACTAGTGGAATCTTACTAGCAATTGTTACAATTCTATGTTTTGGAAGATTTCACATTTTAATGTTGTTGTACATTATTAGGCCAGTTAATATGCTATCACGTGGAAAATGTACAAATCTCTTCATCCTCATCTCTAAGGAACAAAAATAAGTTATAGAATTCCTTTATCTCTGAAAAACATGATTGTGTTTATATAAATTGAAAGCCTTTTGTCATTCTAATTTTATTTACTTAAGCTTAATTTATAAACCATTATATTTATCGACTGAAAAAGATGGTAAATTGACAAATTCACACATCACAGCTAAGCATTCTGAGCCATTACAGTTTCTGTAGTTAGTCTAAATGATACAGCAGTGGTTTATTTTTCCAAACTTCCTAACAGATTTTTCTGTAACTTCTTAGGCACACAAGTTATAATCATTCTGTGTGGTGGTCTTCTGAGCTTGAGTCTAGTTGTGACAGTATGTTGTAGTTACCAGAAACTACGGAAGAATAAGGTAAAGCTGCCTAAGTCTTTGGTAAGTTCAGACTTCTTATCTGCATCAGATCTTTAATATCCAACTAGGTAACTTTTGTAATGCTAACATCTTTATGCCTGTCTTTTTTTTTGTTTGTTTGTTTAATGTCTTATAGATGTTTAGGATCTATATCAGTCTAATACTCTGCCAGCCTCTGCAACCTTGTATTTGTTTTAGGGCTAGACTGCAGTCTCTTTTTATCTGAAGTAGCAGTAGTTAGTCTGTTTTGAGATCTTAGTTCTTAATGTGTGTGTACATAGGCAGATTTGTATTCATTCTAGTGGCAGACAAGACAGAACTACAGTATTGCTGAGGTTAGAACAGACTTTTTGAGATTGTCTGGTCCAACCTTTCTGCTCAGGCAAGCAGGGTCAGTGAGAGCAGGTTGTCCAGGACTTTGTCCAGTTGAGTTTTGAATACCTCCAAGGAATGAGACTCCACAGCCACTCTGGGTAACCTATTCCAGTGTTTAACCACCCTCCCAGTAAAAATTGTTTTCTGACATTCAGATAAAATTCCATGATTTTTTGCTTGGGCCTGTTTCCTCTTGTCCTGTCACTGGGCACCTGTGAGATTTCTTCATTATACTGCTAAGTGCTACAATGTTCTTAAAGTGATGTACAGGCTAAAGGGAGAGAGGGGAGTAACAGTGATGTAGAAAGAGGGAACAACAACTATGGGAAATCTGTTCTCATTCTGAGCAGTCACAGGGAAGAGAAGTCAGCAGCTGCTCTACCCTAAAAGCTCTCTGTAGCCATCCTTAGGAAACAGAGTGGATGTTCCTTAAAAAGCAGCAGCACTCCTTCCTTTCACATGAGTCAAGAGTGGAGTACCTAAGAAGTACTTTTATAATGTCCTCCTGGTGTCTTGTTAGTCACAGTAACTGAACAATCAGCAGCAGGTGAAACAGCTTTCAAGAACTGCTATGTGAGGCAGTAGTAAATGGTAGTCATATTAACAGTGTATCTTCTCAGTGTATGCAGGAATTCTTGTAAGACTTTTAGAAAGAAAAGGCAATGCTATTCAATTCCATGTCCTTCAACTTCAAGACCCTTTAAAGTGACTCCTTCCTAGTGCAGGGGTAGCTCAATGCCTAAGATCCACCTGGAGCCTGCTTTCTTTGGAATAGATTATTAGGAGGTGAGATTGCTCTGACTAAAAGGAGATATCCAAGCTAGTAATGCTAGCTAGGTCCATTTGTAGTACGCAGTAATGTAGTCCATAAACTCGAGTAGCACAAGATGATTAATCTCACTCTAAAATGAAATGCACTCCTAGTCAGACAAAACACTCTCTAAAATACCTGCTTCTTTCCATGGACTGTGACAGAGCCATGAGACTAGTTCAGAGACAATCGTTGACACTGTAGACTTAAAAAAAACTCAGATGAAGAAACCTGTCTGACAGAATCTGCGGCTAGACTCCAGTATCAAAACACAGACCTGTATGAAAAGTGAGACACTGGAGACTTTTTTTTTATCTTCACACCAGTATTTAACTGTCTGGATACATAATGTTATGTCCTACATGCACAGTAACTTTTGTGAAGACTGTTCATTATAGCAAAAGCCCCTCCAGAGTGGTAGTGCTATGCTCAATGGGTTCATGGTTATTCTGGCTTCCGAGTACCAGTTGGTATTGGCTCTAGGGCATCAGGAAAAAGAGTATCACACAAATAGAATGTGTGCTCCTTAACTCCTGTGAGCTTCCTGATGCATGCTCGAACTTCACACTTTAGTGCACCCTGTAGAAACTCATTTGTGTGCCCATATTCTCAGTTTCCTGGGCTAAAGTTATCTTGTGATTCCAAGGTTCCAGTGTACCATGGTCTGGTTCACATTCCACATCATGCTTTCTTGCTGAGGAGCTGAATGAAACCTCTAACTGTTTATAAAGATTGCTACCTGGGTGGTCTATCACTGAGGCAAGTTCCTCAGGGAAGTGGTCACAACGCCAAGCCTGTCAATGTTTAAGAAGCATTTGGACCATGCTCCAAACCACATGTGGTTTTAACTTCTAGGTTGCCCTGAGCAGAGTCAGGAGTTGGACTCTGATCCTTGTGGGCCCCTTCCAACTCGGGGTATTCTGGGATTCTGTCCATTTCCATTGAAGTATCTAGTGACCAATATAAGTTGCAGAGCTCATAAGGATAATTTCAATAGACGTGATATGAATAATGTGGAAATGTGAAATTAATAATAACTTATGATTAATTGTTCATTTTATAGTAATTTGAAGTAATAAGTAATGTAAATAATTAATACTAAGTTTAATGATATGGAGTTATCTCTGTAGACTTCTTGGAGCTGAGAATCTGTCACTGTCACTTTGAGGGTTGGACTAGGAGATCTTTCGAGGTCCCCTCCAACTCCTAATATTCTGTGACCTTTGAATGCATACTAGACATTTCTTTCCATACAGATTATGATCATTGTACTTTACCTGAAATTGTCTGAAAATGAAACATACAGGGAGTTTTTTCATCTGTTAAAAAGTGCTAGGCAAGGTGTCCTACATTAGAACCTCTGCCCTCCAGTGATCTGCTTCCTGGTGGCTTTAAGTAAATGCTAAAATAGCATTTGAGCAACTTTCAGTAAACTGGAATACTTCAACAGAAGAAAAACAACCATCAAGCAGGTGCCTTGCTGAGAGTCTCATATACCCATAGAAAATAAAAAGTCCATTGCCATTTAGATCTCAATAACTTCTATATTGTCTTTTTCTGTGCTGTTTGTGACTCCCAAGAATAACATGTCAGTCCTGTATGGGTCCTACTTCCACAGTGAGCATTGAATGATTACCTTCATTAGAGAAAATGCTCATTTAATTGTTTTAAACATCCTTATTTATAGTAGGATACAACCAGGAATATGCATCTGGTGAAACGGGAGAGATTCAGTTATAGGACTTCATCATGGTAGTCTTCTGCTGGATCACAGAAATCTGATGTTCCAGCAGCCCAGCTGTAGTTAGAGCCATTCGTTTTCTTTCTTCTCACAAAGTGTTTCAAAAGGCTCTGTCCTTCCACACACCATCTTCAGTCATTCTGATTTGTCCTGTACTAGGTTTTTGTTGTAAGAATTGTCAGAAAGGCTTGTCTGACTTGAAAAGACACCTAGCCTTAAGTTACTGATATGCTGTGGGTATCTCCCTCTGTTTTAACTTCACTGTCTTTTTGTTTTTTTCAGTGCCTCTTACCATTAAATGGTGACAACTATTTTAGTGGGTAGAAAACACCCATTCTGTAGGAGAGAGGCTCATTGAAAAGAATCAACTTTCATTTTTTAGCTCATACTTAAGTCAACTTTTCTGCTATCTGCTTGTGCTTCTGAGCCTGACAGGAATGGCAAGACTGTTCTCTCACTATATTTGTAGAATACTTACAGATATTCACAAAACACTTTAAGACTTTTTTTTGTGTGTCTGGCTTTTTTTGGTTATACAACATATTCTTTGGTTTGGATAAATTGTAATTGTTTCTGTAAGTTTTGACTGATATTTGCCACAAGTAATTGTCATCTTACAAGAGCGAAGCTGCTTCATTAGCTTTTGTGAAGATATTTTTTTCTTTTTCCTGTGAGCATCTATAGGGCAGTAACAAAGTCTCCTCTTTATACAGTTACACAGTATTAATTTGTTGTGGAACCATGTAAGGGCCATGCAGATTTTTTCAAGATCCTAGTAAGAGTTGAAATGGACTTCCCAAACTCTCCTCCAAAAAATGCATACCTGAAAATTACTGGGAATTTATAGGTGGATGAGCTGTTAGAAAGGAAATTTAGGAAAGAAACTGTTCATTACCTTAACTTATTCCTTGGAATATGTTATTTATATGTATCCTTGAGCCTGCCTTCCACTGGTGTATCTCCCTAGCCTGAGTGAAAGATCTGAAAGCTCCCGTGCTATTATTAGAGACAGGAAGATACCTGAGCATGTGCCAGGAAATACTGCTGACGTCCAGCTTGGGCTCTCTGGCTGTCAGTTTGCTAGTACTCAGTAACGTACACAAAAGAGAAAATATTAACTTACCTATGGTAAATACTTTTCTTCACATGGCAACCATATCTTAAGACCTTTGTTACATGAGTTGTTTTGAGTGGCATTTCACTGAGTGTAGTAAGCTGTGATTCTGTTCTTTGAAGCTAGGAATAATTGCATGAAATGCTAGCTTATCTTGTAGTCATAACTCAGTGACTTAAAGAACCTTTGGTACCAGGAAACCCACAAGAGTTTTTTCTTCTGATGACTTCCTTATTTCATGGATGGGAGTAGGAGTGTCTCTGCACCATCTTGCTTTGGTCAAAAACTCACCAAGAGTAAAACGGGTTTCCTTTTTGAGAACAAAACTCTGGGATGTAGTTGTATAGAGAATACTTACATTATCCTCAGGATCTGTATTTTGAGCATTGCCAGCTGGCACTGAAATGCAGAACCTGTGTAGAGTACAAAGTGTTCCCTTAACACATTTTAGGACTACTATTTATAGAGCCATATGAAAATCCTGAAAGTACAGAAACAAGAATTCGTGGGGTTTTGGTTTTAATTTTAGTATAGCAGATACTGGTATGGGGAGAGAGATGGGAAGTTGTAAATGCAGCTTTTAGCCATAGTTTCTGTAGCGTTTTGTTCTAGTTCACATTCCTCAACCATTTCAGCCTACACAGAGAATTATCTTTTCTTGTCACTTACTTGTCACTCCAGTTTGACTATTGGAGTCAAATTTTTGCTATCCCCCAAAAGACTACAGATGCTGGCCCCTTCAAGGTCAGTGTCGGTAGAGGATAAGTATACAGTATTTTTTCATGTATCTGGTAAATAGGTTTTCAAAAGGTACATTAATCCTACCAGCTGTTCATAACTATTTCAGCATCTATGCATTATTGATTGTATTCTCGTTTCTGCAACAATCTTTTAAGCATCTGCTTCTTATGCATGGGTGGTTTCCATACATACTCGTGAAAATTACTCTGAGTATTCCCTATATAGTGTTCTGACTTTCTGCATAACAGAAAATGAACATCCAGAGAGAATGATGGCTGAGCAGCAGCTCGGTTGTAGTGTGGTACATTCTCAGTGTCAGGGGCCACCTTAATGCTCTTTTTACTAGCTTTCCAGTGGCAGTGTGTGAATTCCAAGGAGAACCCTCACCTGAGTGGTGCTAACACAGCTATTTGTAAAACTCGCTTAGTTTACACATAGTTACTCTTCAGGGAGTGTTTGTTTGCTTTGTGGTGGTTTGTTGTGTTTTGGTTTGCGTTGGTTGGTTTGTTTTAACTCCAGTAGTTTCACTGATCCAGCGTAAACCACAGTACCATCAAAAGGTATCAGGGGAATTGAGGGGAAAGGTATGGGGCTCTTGATTCTTATACTAATACAGACTGGGAGGTTCTTTTTGCCTGAATGTAGCTTTTCTTAAACAACATTTGTTTTCTCCCCCTTTTTTCCTCCTACCTACATCCCTTCATTCCAAATTTGCCTCAACCTGTACTTTCAGTCAGTTTATTTTTTTAAAGTATCTCAAAAACCAGTGATTGTGTACATTTTTATTAAGAAATTAGCGTATCCATAGTACTTGATAGTCTGTGATACACATATATAATGAATTATGACATTTGGAAAAAGACATTGTTAATTGAGTAACCCTTTCTCCCTATGCTTTCTGTTAGCTTTAGGGAGCACCATCATAAAGCTGAAAATTTACCCTACTTTTATATGTATTTTTAAAAACACCTTAAAAATATTTTAAAAAATCAGAAAACTAAACGGCCTGAAGGCATGTTGTAATTGTTTAAAACAAGCTGGAGTCTGGCCATGGAAGGAATTAATATACTCTTCCTGTGGAGGTGTTTCAAAGTGAAACAGTGAAGTTTGTTGCAGCACTGAGGCAGTGCTAGGTGACACAAGAGGGATAACTAAGGCGGCTTCAGCATAGCTATGACTACTGGGTATGCACAAAGGTTCTCATGTTATTTCAAAGATCTCTTTCCAAAATTCACTTATCTCCCAGTTGAGACAGTTGCCACAAAACGTTACAGTCAGTGCAAGTTACACTCAGTAGCTATACAGTATGAAAGATTTCCCAGATAGTTGAAGAGTATTACAGCTTTTTCTTCCTTTGCGGTTTTCCTCTACATTGCACACTTCTGTGACTTAAAATCCAGTTGGTGAAATGAAATGGATTTGGTCCTTGCAAATGGTCTTTGCACTTAGAAAGCATTTTTGAGAGCTCACCTGAAAGTGTTAATGAAACAGTTGGAAGTCATAGATATAGGCTAATGACGTTGCGAGGTTCTAATTTTGCTAATGTCTGTTAGGATTGGTTGTAATGACATTAAATTTGTATTATAAACTTGTATCTTTTTTTTTTAACCTCTAAATTTGTCAGAAGATAAAGCCAATAAATTAGTAGATTATGTGGAACTAAAAGTGATTTTTTTTTTTTTTTTTCCATTTAAGGTCAGTGTGATAAGAAACCTGAACACAGACAGCATTCTGGAATCAAAATCAGAGGCAAAATACATATCTGTGATAAGCTTCATGCCAGGCCAGTCAGTAAATGAAGTAACCTCGCTGGAGGTAGTGCCAGAAGAAGAAACTGTTAGAACTCAGGATTCCAGTGAAGGAACATCTTCAGTTCTTCCCTCAGAGACACCAGCCAAAGCAGAAGAGCTGTCTGTGCAGGAAAGCACAGTGGAGGTATCTTCTGATGATGAACAGCATCACAAAGTAAAAGAGAGTTACTTCATTTCTGACAGTAACCAAATGGATATTAGCAGTAACTCTTCAGGCCCAGAGGTTTCTGCCACAGAAATACAACAAACAGTCATTCCAAGCAGCTGTCTCAAGTTTTCTGGCTATGACAAACCTCATGTGCCATTAGATATGCTGATAGATGTTGGTGAAGAGCAGCCTGTGATTGCTTACAGGCCAACAGACTAACCAGGAGAGCTGAAGTGTTTAACCAGAACTCAGGAAGAACAGCATTACTGAAAATAGTGAAAAGTCTGGCTTGTACTGTGACCATCTACAAGTTGTACTTGTTCTTATCCATCCAGAGTAACCAGTTCACAACCTATTACAGTAGGATCCTGAAATGGGACTGAAAGTACCTAAGTACAGCATAAAAATGGGGGGGGGTATTTCATAATAACTTTTAGAAGTGTTTGTGTATGACATAACTCACTGTTTCCTGTTTGAAATAGTGCTTTGGTTTTGTAACAGTACTCTAGAGAGAACAGACTTCATTAAGGAGTATGAAGCAGCAGCTGTATCATTATTCCCTTCTGTTTCAAATCCTTTCCAAAATTAATTTGATGAACATAATGCTTAAAAAGTCCTTCACTTGGTTACGATGGAGATATGCAAGAAATATTGGAGAATTTTTGCCTTTATTTAAGGTATTCTCTTGCTTGTCTTTTTTTTTTTCTTGAGGAATATTTTTATATTAAGTGAAATGCCTTTTCCTGTATATGATAAGAATTTGAGTCCATGGCCAAGAAGCAGTTGTTTGTAGTCTTTTCTAGGGCTAGAAGTACGTGCTTCCAGGACCATTACTTTGTACATTTCAGTGAGTAAATTATAGACTTTTCCTTTGTAACCTAAGTCCTGTGACTAAAAAAGCTATTCTTAAAAGTATTGTTATTTGTGTATAGCTGCATCTGGATCACCTGGATACATTATGTAACTATTTCACATTCTGGATAACTCCTGTATTAGCATGCTGGCTGATTGTCATTGGAAAAGAAATGTGTGCAATGGGTGGTTGAACAAATTCTTTAAAAAATTATGCATTCTTCTCAAAATTCAAAAGCCTGCTTTCCTCCAGGGCATTTTTATCCTAATTCTTAGAACCATATGATTTTTTAAAAATAGAAATCATCAGGACTTCTTCCAAACATGTTTTCTAGCAGGTTGAAAATGACTACCATTTGTCCTCTCTTTATGATGTAATTCAGGAACTACACCAAATTTCCTCTCTCTAAAATTACATCTCAAGACAATAGAAAAATAGTGTGGTAAGTTGTAGTTCATAAGTTATTGTCATCTGACAGCCCTCTGGCTTTTGTAGCATGAGTTTGTAATTTTGAAAACAAAGATGAAGATTTTATTTTATATATTTAATTTTGAGTCTGATGCCTGCAATCCAGTTATTTCCCTTTTATTAAGATTTGATGGACGTTTTCTGTTTGTAGGAAATGTTTGCAGTGGTTCTTATTGAAGCTTGATAAGTTCAGGAAAAAAAAGGATGTTTTACAGATACAGGGTGGTGCATTTGTACAAAATTATGTCTTTGTTTTTAAAGACTCTTTTTGTAGGATTATCAGAAATGTTTGCATGTTATAGAAATCAAGCAAGAAAGGGCAGAGACCAGAATGCCTGAGTCGACCTGCTGGCCACACTAAAAGGCAAGAAGGAACTGCACAGACAGTTCAAGAAGGGACAGGTACTGTGGGAAGAGCATAGGGATGCTCCCTGGCTGTGTAGGGACGAGGTCAGGAAGGCCAGGGAGTGGCTGGAGCTGAACTTGGCAAGGGATGCAAAGAATAACAAGAAGGACTTCTACGGGTATGTACAATGGCAAGCTGGTAACCACAGACGAGGAGCAGGCAGATTCTCAACAACTTTTTTGTCTGTCTTCACTGGCAACATCTCTCCTCACAGATCCTCTGCATCCCAGAGTCCTGAAGGAATTGGCTGATGCAGTTGTCAAGCCACTCTCTATGATATTTGAAAAGTCATGGCAGTCAGGTGGAGTCCATGGAAGGAGGGAAACATCATACCCATTTCTGAAAAGGGTAGAAAGGAGGACCCTGGGAACAATCAGCCTGTCAGCCTCACCTCTGTGGCTGGGAAGGTCGTGGAACAGATCCTCCTAGAAGTTATGCTGAGGCACATGGAGGACAGGGAGATGATTCGAGACAGCCAGTGTGGCTTTACTAGGGGCAAGTCCTGCCTGACCAACCTAGTGGTATTCTATAATGGGGTAACTGCATCAGTAGACAAGGGAAGAGCTATAGATGTCATCTGTCTGGATTTCTGCAAGGCCTTTGACACAGTCCCCCACAACATCCTTTTCTCCAGTTCTCAAATTCTATGAATTTGATGGGTGGACTGTTCAGTGGATAAGGAATTGGCTGGGTGGTTGCATCCAGAGAGTAGTGGTTAACGGTTCGATGTCCAGATGGAGATGGGTGACACGTGGTGACCTTCAGGGATCCATACTGGAACCAGTGTTGTTTAATATCTTTATCAATGATACAGACAGTAGGATCGAGGGCACCCTCAGCAAGTTTGCAGATGATACCTAGCTAAGTGCTGCAGTTGACATGCCACAGGGACAGGATGCTATCCAGAGGTGTCTAGACAGACTGGAGAGGTGGGCAGTTATTGTGTGATGGACAGCACAACTGGAAAGGTTTTGGTATGCGTTAGCTGGCTATGATTTGTTTCTGTATTTGTTCAGCTGTAGTAAGATCGCACAGTAACTCTTCCACTGTTGTGTGTTGGGTTGAGTTCTTAGAAGGTAATGCTGGTGACTTAGTGCTTAGGCTTTGCTAGTGTGTAGACATCTCCATTGCAGAAGTGCAGAAAATAACTCTTTTGGTGATACAAGAAAGCTTTGAAAATCAGAATTAACTTGCACTTGGAACTTCAACTCAACTGACTTTTCAGTTAATAGTATGGTTTACCACTGAAGCATGTTTTCAGCAGTCTGGCTTCTAAGGAGATGAGCAGCTGTGTCTTGTGTTGAGCTTGAAGTTGATATCATTGCTTTCAGGTTTTGTAGATTTGTTGATAAATGCAAACTGCAGTAAATATCTTGGGACTTTATACATGTAATTGTTTAACTCTAAACTTGGCTCAGAAGGGAGAAATAGGGCATTAGAAACTGTGAGATTAGCTTGTTTTTTGGGAAGAAGTCTCTGACCAGTTTGGTAAGTATCATCTTTGCTACTGCTCGGAGTATTTCATCTTGTAATTGGTAGTTTGTTTTCCTTCTGTCATTTTTGTCCAAAGGAAAAAAGAAGTTGTTCTCCAAAAAGATCTGGAATTAACTATAGTAGTCATTCCTTTCAGTATTCTGCACCAAACCTATTCTGTCAGAAGTACGTAATTTCTTGGAAATGTTAGATTTGTATTCTTAACAGTGTGTGTTGAAACCCTGGTGCTGTTAGGAAATTTATTAAGACTTGGCCTCTTAGATTTGTGTGAACTTGAGAGATCACTTAGTGCTTTCTGTTCTGAAAGGTTTTCCTTTATTGCCACCCTGGAAGAGGAATGATACTTTCTCTGTGTGAGGGCAGAGAGATGCCTTTTAAAACCAAGTGACTGTCTCAGATTCTTTTCTCTTCCCCCTGCAATGCTACTATGTTGTACATTGGCCTGAATCTTTCAAGTCACATCGAGTCTTATGTGAGTAAAAGAGTCCAGCCAGGTTCTAGGGTAGAATTAAGGACAAGGTGGTTAAGATCAGTCAGAAATGACACAAATAAATCATGAGCATACGGGAAAAAAATTTGGCGGCTAGTTATGTATAATGGAAAGGTGCTGCTATTTTGTAAGCTGAAAATCAAGCACAGGAGTATGAGTGTTTTGTGCTGTACAACATATATATACACATATATATGCATATATATTGCACCCAACTGACCTCTTCTTGTAACTATCACAGGGTTAAATGTATTTTTTTCTGAAGATTTCCGAACTGTCATTACAAAAGCCACTGAATTATCACCCTCCCTGCAGGTATGTCTTCTGTGTCCTGTGTACTTCGCAAGTAGCAAATATCATGGGGATAGTTTAGATGTCTAAATTGCTCAGGCCAACCTGCAGGTTTTGTAACTATGAAATAAAGAAGTTTAAGGGCGTGCAAAGCACCAGATTCTTTTATTAGCTGTGAGTAGCTGAAAATATGAAACCACAGTGAGACAAGAATGGGTTCACTGTGTAGTTCACTAGTTAAGATTACAGGAAAAGAAACTTGCATGAGAAGAGCTGTGTTTCTCAAGGCTAGAAATAACCAGTTGCTCTGAAGTGGTGCCTTTTGACAGTTTAGTATTCATAAGTATGAGCTATTGTACTGGGTTCAAATTAATAGTTTCAGCATATCTTAAAAGAACCAAAAGAAAACCAACCCTAAACAACAAACCAGAGTGTCTTTTATCTTATAAGAGACCTGCATAGAATTCTTTAGTGTGGTTTTTAAAAATTCAGTCCTTTTAACTGTAGAACCCTTGTTTATTAATACACTTTCTATATTTTCTAAATGGATGCAGTCATTGGGCTAGGTGGGACCTCCAGGGGTCTACAGTTCATTCTTCTTACCAGAACTGCATTGTTCCTCCTACACGTTTGTTTAAAGACTCCATGACCCCATTAGGCAATTTATTTTAGGAGTTCTTTATCCCTAGAAAGTATTTTCTAATGTTTAATGCAAGTCTTCCAGACTTCAGAAATTTAATTATCCACAATGGGTCTGCTAAACATACCTTGGTTCTTGACTGAAATTTGTAACTAATATCAATACTGTAAATACTGTAAACTTGAAATTTTTTTACATTGAGTTAAATGTAAACACAGACAAATGTGTATGCTTACTTTTTTCTTACTTTTGTACTGAAGACTAAGTCTGCTTTTGGAGCTTGTTCAGATCGTGTTACACGTGTATGCTTGAGCATTACTGAAGATGAATAGAAAACACTTTGTGGGAGATCTGTATAGCCTAAGTGTGTGTAATTATGTGTAGCCAGTTACTGTATTCTACTTACCAGATGTATTAGCATATAAATTGGTTTTAAACTAAGGTCACTTCTCATTTGTTGAAATATCCATATATATGTATATAAACATATGGATATATACACATATCTTGGAAATATATATATGTATATAAACATATGGATATATACACATATATTGGAAATCAACTCTTTGTCTCT